TAAATACAATTCTTCAAATAAACGTCAATAGCTTCAGTTAGCTTACGTGTTCCAAGATCGTTCAGATGGATACCATCATGAGCTAACATATTTCGAGTAAACTTACAATTAATAATGTCAATATCAGGTGAAGATAATAGCCGCTGGTTAAAATCATCAATCATTGTTTAATTGGTCTTGTAAGATGGTTTTAAGTTAGGATCAAACTGAGGTGGTATTGTAACAAATGTAGGTTTTATATGATGATGTTTACGTTTCAGTGTTTGAATAAGTTGATTAAGAAGCTCTATGGCTTTATCAGAATTAATGTGTTTCATGTCAATTGAACCGATGGAAATTATAGCGTGTGATGAAAGATTAAAATGTTGATCAATCCAATTATTATTAACCATATGTGTTAATTGTTTAATTGAAGCGCCATGTTTTGTACTAATTTTTATATCAAAATGTTTATCGCTCACAAATAGTTTACCTGGTTCCAAATCACGAACGATACTCGAACCAGTAATCGTAATAGGGACAGATGGATTTGATTTTGATTGTTCATGGTTAGATGAGATGAGAGATGATTGTGATATGGAACTTGATTGCGTTAACTTAGCAGTAACGGATGGTTTCTGAAAACTTTGTTGTACAGGTTGAACTTCAAAGGAAGAGCGTAGCTTTTCAATTGTGAATATTGAATAATTTGTCTATTAAATTAGTAGAGACGAGTTGCAGTTGAGATGAAATAGATAATTGGTCGAGTAACTGTTGATTCATCTTCATAAGACCAACTTGTAGATCGCAAGTTTGACGTAAATCTACACACCGTTCATTCAATAATTTAATATCATGATCAATAATCCATCGTGTAGTGAAAACATAGTATGCAATTGCCACGTTTTTTGCCCAGACGGATTCCAATCAAATTTTCCTTAAGTGGCTGAAATATCAAGAAACTTATGTGGAAAAGAATTGGTTTGGGGTAACACTGTTTCCTAAGAAATAGGTGTTTCGACAGTGGCTATAAAATGAAGAAAAGTTCATATCTTGTGAACTAGGACAGTTACCCTGATCAGGTTTCTTCTTGCTGATGGTTTTTACACATGTAAGGAGTTTTTAATTATACGGTTAGGCACGAATCTGTCTGGACAAAAACGAATAGCTATGATTCATCAGTTTCATACATCGATGCAACGCCGAACTGAGACGAAGCCTTGATTCTAAGATTTCCTCACTCCACGACAAAAAAATATTCACGGAAGGGATCGATGCGATAACTGTTGCTGGAGCCAAGCTCGATGAACGAAAGGATGGCTTCAGAGGAAAGACCTAAACATCAGTTTAGCATCTAGACTGTATAATTCATCCACAGGGCTCTGTTACTGCTTGTTGTAATAGGGGAGGAGGATCGCTCCTGAGCTACCGGAGGCGACCGATCTTGCTTTCTTGCTAGTCACCCATCAACAAGACATAAAACTTTTGTTACGGACTGGAGTCGAAAAAATCTGTAAAACAACGTTCGCTGGCTCTTGGAACGTACGTTCGTGTTTTCGACGATTAAACCGTGAATTAATTATTCAATAGTCAAAGATATATTGCATACAAATTGTCCAAATAACAAGTGTGAAAGAATATTCAAACTACAGGGTATTATACGTCATGTTAAGTAATCTGCGAAGAAATTATGCAAGGATAACGGTATTTCGGTGGATTATACAACTGTTTGCCAGGGCCGTGGATAGAAACTGAACTTTGCGGAGGGTGGAAATGTTCTGGAGAGGATGTACGACAAATAAATTTCGCTGTGTGACCAAAAATAACGAAAAGAAATTTTAATTTTCAGAAGGACAAATTTTTATTTTGGGGGAAATGTATACCCCTCCGAACACATCCGCAGTTACTGTAAGTCCACTCTCTGAAAAGAAAGCAGATTTAACTGAAAACAGGTTTAATGAAAGTTTTGTTGTCTCTTGGAAGTTTTCCAAAGAACGACTAAATTAATCTCTTTTTTCTTTATTACTTCTTTAAAAAAGAAATGGAGTTTTCCTAAAAAAGCGAAATACCGTGCTCAGATTGGGCACCTCTCTAGAAAAGAAATCAAAAAAGCGGGAAAAAGCGCATAATCGGATGAGAATCCATGTGGAGAACTTGAGAAGAAAACCGAAATAAACAATGAAACTAGATGATTTGCTAGATTTTTAATTTTTTGAAGATTTTAGATTCCGTGAGAATAAGTATTTCCAGAACGTTAGATCAATATAATGTTATGATCATTCTGCGACACGAACTCGTCAACAAAAAATCACATGACCGCCGAAGGTGACAAAGCTCCAGCTAGTCGACGGCGCCTCCTAGAATACTTCGGAGACCGTACCATGAACGAAGGAGGAACAAAGAAAACCAAATGAATTTAAATTATTTTTGGTTTCACAATTCATACAGTGTATTTTATGATAAGAAGAAAAATCTTAAACAGTAGACAACAACCGACTGTTCATTCCTCCAAAGCTGAAGAAGTGGCAATCCTGGAAATAAACCAAGTCTAAGGAGTCTCCGTTTTATAGATTAAACTAATATTGTTTTAGCCTTGTTTTTATTGCTGCTGACAAGAAAACGCCTGACGTTTTATAAACTAGTTATGGCAATGGTCCTCATTGAATAAAGGTGTCTTTTTTCCTGCAGCTTTACCTCCTTTCGACTTCTATGTTTTCGTTTCTGACGAAAATAGCTGTTGTAATTGCAACGGTTTATTGTTCCTCATTACTAGTCACGTTCTGAGTACGTTGGTACAAAGTATCTAGTACAATTTTCGTCTGAAACATTTATTAATGCACCGTTAAAAATACAAAGAAAAAATATATATACAAAATCCCATTAAAGGTATGTCCAGTAGAATACCAGAGATACCCGCACTCCCGATACTACCGACAGCAGGCACGATTGCTACTAACCAAGCATTGATTGGCCTTTGAACAGAATCAACAGGACTGTTATAGTGAGTGAATAAGTCGAAATGAGGATTTCTGTAGTGTAGCTGTTTGATATATGTTGTACAGGCTGCAGTGCTTCATATGAGCAACTATGCCAAGATAAGGCTAGAACTGCCAGTCCAGTAGAAAAGTTAGTTTATTTGCTTGATTGTTACTTATTATTAAGAATAGTTAAGCCGACAAAGTAAAACTTATTATTTTTCATCTTGCTAGGAGACATTCATCATACTTTCTCTATTAAGTCGTCTGTGTGAAACTCTGGAAGACTTATTGTTTTTCATCTCACGATTGCTAGGGAAGTTTCACCATATTTTGTTATTATTTTGCTTGATGTCACTAAATGAACCTATATTCGGTTAGGTTTCATCCAATCCTCTAGCATTACGAAAGCTCGGTAAAAAGTAAGGCTTTCGTAACACGTTAAAAAGATATAGATTAAACAAAGACAGGGCTTTCGTAAAGATAATACAAAGGGATTAATGTCTAAAACTTCTTGTAACCCAATCTAGCTTTTTTGGTTAGAAGTTCAGCAAGTTTTTTTGTCTTTATTTAACTCATCACACTTTCGGAAAAAAAACTTAGTATCGGTTTTGGAAAATATTGTTCCGTTGTCGAGAAAATTAATTTTCTTGAAACAGGTAGCAAAAACAAGAAAATTCACTTGTATTTTGCAGTTTTCACTGTCAAATTTTCCTTTTCTGTTGCGAAACCAATGTCAATATTCGGTCAGGTTTCGTCCAATCCCCTAGCATTACGAAAGCTGGGTAAAAAGTTTTTTCTGGAAGTCTGATGAGTTAAATAAAGAAAAAATAACTTGCTTAACTGCTAACCAAACAATCGCCGAACAAAGTGTATATTCGGAATCAGCGTGCAAAACTGTGTCGAGTGACACGTCTTTAATCTTCATTTGATGACTTTCATTTTTTCATGTACATGCCATGATCCACTGAGCGTGTGATAGTTTAGTGACAAAAATGAAAAAAAATGGAAGTCATCAAATGAATATTAAAGACATACCACTCGACGCAGTTTTGCATGCTAATTCCGAATATACACTTTGTTCGGCGACTTGACTTCGATGAAGGGTCCAAAAATCACTGAAAATGCCGTTTGGGGCTCTCGGGAAAATGCTTTTAACTCCTGAATGAAACACGCTAGCGGACTTGGTCCTACACAGATCGAAAGAGAGCAATTTTCTCTATCGAATGATTATGTCAAAATCCCAAGTCCAACGGTAAATGCCTTCGGAATATTGTTTTTAAAATGTTCATCAAGAATTCTCCCGATGGGTCAATTTTGACCAGTCAGATTTGACATTTCCATATAAAAACTATGACTCTCTTTCGAATGCTGAAAACCGCAAGTCTCCAGCTGCTTTCGTTCTCAAGTTATTTCACTTACAAGCGATTGCACTGTCCATTGAAATGGATAGTAGATAGGCTTACAAGAACATTGGGTGGGGTTCCAGCCATTCTGCGAGGTCTTCAGCGATTTCAGTCGGCCAGTCAGGTTCTAAAAGTATGTGAATTACTTTTTATATTGAATTTTGTATGTGAAATCAGAAATAATAGTACTAAAATTTTAAAAAGACAATAAACCTTGAAATTTTGCCAAATTTTAAAACATCAATATTTTTTAAAATTTTGTAAATGACAAAAGGCTTACAAAAATCCACGTTTTTATCTAGGTAACTCGATCAGCTCGATCTAATGAGCAAAAAAAATCAAAAAGAGTTTTGATTATCTTTTGAATTGCCGGTACCTTGGATGCTGTGACAGGGCTTCCGTACGACTCTTCAGCAGGGCTTTCGTCACGAAGTTTGTGTATGCTTTTTACGGTAAGATAGCTGACGATTTATGTTGTCTAACAGGACTTTCGTAACAGTCTTTTACAGGGCTTTTGTAAGGAAGTATATATTTACTTTTCAAGTTGAAATGATGTATGATTGTACTCATTCACTCTCACCGTTTCTATTCGTTGTCTTTTTCATTTACAATAAAAAGTAGCATTCGTTGCGAAGGCCCTGTAATAAAACAGCATTACCATTTATATCTGGGAAAAAGAAAGTACATATAGACTCCGAAAAGTATAGACTACGAAAGTGGTGAAAAAGAGTCTTACGAAAGCCCTGTGAGAGGATCTACTAGAGATTAATTCCTTGCATTATCGCTACGAAAGCCCTGTTAATAATCTTGGTGACTGACTGTTTCATAGAGAGGATATGACCCGGTTAATAGTGTTACGAGGGCTCTGTAAAAACAGATACGAAAGCGCTGTAAAACGAGAGTTTACGGAACGAAAGCTCTGTTATTTTTTTCGTACAACAGCCCAGTAAAAAAAGAGAGGTTTGGATGAAAAGCCACCCGGTATTCTTCAATACAATGACTGTTGTAAAGACGAATATTCACCAGGTGCAAGAGTACATCTGGTAGTAATAGAGATAATCTCATTTTCCCCGATTTTTTGACTGGCTGTCATGGATTTATGCCAGCACTGATGTAAAGTGTTTTTTATGAAAAAGTGATGTATTCCTCTTCGAGACAGAAAATAAATCTTTAATTATTTTCAGCGAAATATCATGTTTATTGAAAAAATGTTTCATTTTCCTTGATAACGCTTTTAAAATTTGTCACTTATTTTAAAAGAAATTTCAAAATACAGTATTTTATTTTTCTTACTTTTACATATTTTTTCATTTCCTAGATTATGCATTCGTCGCCAAAGCGTATCCTGCGTATTTGCAGTATTTGCTTAGCGGTTTTATTTGTTATTTCAAAAACAATATATTGGAAGAATATTTCGTTACCTCATAAGGATGTTGGTAAACCAACCAGATTGCACTTTAAACTACAACCTAATGCCAACATAGTTTCACAGCGGAGGTTAGCCATTATTTTAATTAAAACTATTAAAATTTTAAGAATATCATTTGTACAGGTATTAGGGTGAAAGACTCAACTTACAAATATTTCATCAAAAACAACGCCCCTTATATATTGTATCCATGGAAAAAATAAAACGGTGATTATCTTGTGAAACAATTTGACAAGGATTTGCGGAAAGTGTTTACCCCGGATTCCTAAATTTCATTTTTTTTTAATGAATTCTCAGGTGGTGTCTTATGAACTTCAAGACATTAAATAGCGTATTCGGCGCTATTTAAGGGAGGAGAGGGGCCTAAACATATCGTCAAATTTTGCCCGTTTGTCGAGAACACCTCCACGGATCTGGGATTGCAATAACTCGCGGGTTGGATAAGCTTTAGTAGAGTTATGAAAGTTTCAAAATTTCCAAAAGTCGATTTTCCCAGCTATTCTGCACCTACTGCAAAAAGTAGTTCTTGCGCAACACGCCTCCTCAATGAAACATTCCGAAAGCATTCTGTTCATCGAAAAGTATTCATTATACTCACCTCTGTGGGATAAGATATTGTGGTTTTAGATTGGTGTCATTATTCTGAATTTATAGGCCCAACAAGTGGCCTGAACCTGATGTTGCTCTCACCATATTCAGAAAACTATCCTTTTCAGTAAAACTTTAGTTATAAACTTCTACATGATTATTTTTCAATCAAAGTTTGCATATAAAAGTAGCGCTGGCTGTTTACCATTACTGTTACCAGTAACAAGTAACAATTTTGTTACTTATTACTAGTAATTAGCAACAACAGATGCTAGTTTGTTACTTTATTACTACTAGATGGTGGAACATCTGACAAAGAAGTATCTGAAATATTTGTTAGCTATAGAAACAAATATTTCAGATACTTCTTTGTATCTGAAATATGTAGGGATGTAATATATATTATATATATTATATATATTATATATATATATATTATCTGTCCAATTGAACAGTGGCCGTGGTCAGTTTTTTAATCAGTTTTTAACTTTTTAATTTAATGTTGTGTGGTTGGGCCAACCACATCAACATATATATTCGACTAATATTTGTGCAGCTCATCGAGCCAGATTGAATACGTTAGTTTATCACCTTAATTTATTACATAATAACAAAGTTGAGAATTCAAATGATGCGTTATTATTCGCATCTCCCTATCTTTACAATATTTCAACATACGATTATTTAATTTCAAACAGCACAATATTTTATAAAAGATTGCATTACATTAGCAATGGTCATCCAGAAGTTTTAATATTTATCATAATCTCCGATGAATTTCGTTTAATTGGTCTCAATTGGTTATTAAATATAAAATATTATTTACCATCATTATTTATACGTTTATTTATTGGTTGTCATGATAAAAGTAGTCTAGAATTAGTGGAAAAGTTTAATTTAAAGTATCATTTATCAATTCCATATTATTTAATGAATTTTAATGATGATTTACCACCTATAACATTATCACCACATTTTATCAATGGAAAAATTGTTGGCAAACAAAATAATAAACGACACCAATTAATGATGTTTATTTCAGTTATTGAACGTTTACAATTATTACGTAACGGTTTTACATTTATTTATAGTGATACTGATATTCTTTTATTTCGTTCACCATTAAATCTTTATCCATTTTCAATATTAACTAAAAATGTTCCAATATTATTTCTTAGTGATTGGGAAAATATAACACTTCTACGTTATAATAGTGGTTTTCTATTTTTAAGACCATTGTATTTACCAATAATTGAATTATGGA